CCCCAAAACCCCAAAACCCCAAAACCCCAAAACCCCTTGAATATGAAAAGAATTGAATTAGCCATTAAAAATCAAACAGATTATCAATCTCATCAGCGTCTGCTTTTCTTGCTTCTGATTGAGAGTAAATCTTTTCTCGTGTTTTTACAGATGCTTTATCAGTTTTATTATCTTTATTCCCAAGCTTGTTGCCGCAACCTTCTACAGGTCAATCGGGGTCGAATGGTGGATTGTTTCATACTTCTTCAATGCATCCGGAGTGGAACCAGTGTAGACAATATGCTATTTCTGGAGTAAGAGATTTTTTCTTTTTCTTAGATAGTAGTTCCTCTCCTCAAATCTCACAAATAGCATTTGGAAAGTATCTTACAAGCTTATCAATAACAAACTGTACAAGTTCTACCAATCATGGGCGAGCTTGCTTATTATTTGCTTGCAACTCCTGTATTCTCTTTTCTTCAAGTTCAAGCTTCTCAAGTTCTTTTTCTGCTTCTTTTCTTATCATTCTTCTATATTTCTTTCTTTTCTTGTAATCTCCGATTTCTTCCTTCATGTCTTTCTGCTTTCTCAAGAAATCTATATCATACTGCATCTCTTCGTAAGTCATCAGAGGAGCTTCTACCTTCTTGGTAGCTTCTGCTCCGATCTTTCCTTCGTTGAGGTCGGATTCTAGTCCGTCATATCCCAAGTGATACCTCCTGACCAAGTCTTGTATATGAGAGCTAAAGATTTCAAGTAAACGAGGATTAATGTTTGTACCAGTGCCCTCCTTGTTATTTTTCAGGATAGTTACTTCTAGTGGAACGAGGGGGTAATCCGGAGGAATACCTACAAGAAGCGCTAGTCTTAAGTCCTCCTCCTGAATGATATACTTCACTTTGCCTGCTTTCTGGAATAACTTCATAGAATCCTTCTCTGGGTCAAGTAATTTCTTAGCCTTCTGAACCTCTTTCCAGGCTGGAATCAAGTTATTGTGTTCTAGAAGCTCGTTATAGTAATCATAGATCCGAAGAACTTGATATTTTCCTTCTTCTGCTAACTCCTGAAGCTTCTTGTCAGCTCCTTTCTTAATTATCTCTACCAATCTGAGAGGTAAAGACCTCGTCTTGACCTGACAGCTCAAAGGAGTGTTTGGGTATTCTTTGGTAAACTTTATCACTAACTCACAGTTCTTAAGCATTGTGTGAAAAATAGAGATTCTCATTGAATTATCATCAAAAGCTTCACTTCTGGGGAGTGTATCTAGGATATAGGTGATCTCTTCTTGTAATGAGTCGTAATCAAATATTTTCTCTTGATTTTCCTCTTCCTTTCCCTCTTCTATTTTCTCCATTTTTAATTATTACCAATTTGGAAATATTGTAAAGGGGTTTTGGGGTTTTGGGGTTTTGGGGTTTTGGGG